CTCTTACAATACCCATGGAAAAGGAAGAAATGGTGCATTCGATGCCAGGACCGCACGGCAATTTCTTGTACCTTTATTATAAAACATTTTACTGATGAAGCTAGTCATAGTTTAGGAATTTTTTTTTTTTACTAGGTTGGATATCCATTGAATATAATCTAGGAATACTTAATCATATATAATCAGTATTTATGCGAGTATCTTACTAGAGGGACTTTGTACAAAAGTTGTTTGCTTGGGCATCTCTGTGACATTCGTGTTTCTAACGTGAAGCAGTTGTGTTTGCATGGTTGTGTTTCGGTTTGAAGGGCATATGGCAGTGAATTTACAGGATACAGAGGAATAACACCTGAGTCCTCAGGAATGGCAACGCATGGAGGGTATCATGGGCGGAATAGTATACTCTATTATGTCAATGGTACTGCTCATGTCTATAGGCGACGGTTACCACTTTCCATCAGATGGGCCATAAGCGTGTTTACCATTCTAAGTTGCATGAAAAATAAAAAAATAAAATAGTATTTTGCTTGTTACCGCGGGCAACTCCATAATCGGTGATTTAAAACAAAACAGCTCATACTCATAGGAATTTTGGAATAATGTTATCGTAACGGAATTAAGATAAGAGATAGTATGAGATAAGTACAAAGTAAATATGCACGAGATAAAGTCATGACTCAGTCTGAAATTACATTTCGATGAATGAAAATGTTATAGTAAACATGAATATAAAATAGAGCCTTTAAACGGGTGAATATGGAATAGTAACCCCCTCTACATTATTAATTTACGTTACTGGCGGGATAACGGTGAGAGATGATAAGTGAGGATAAAGTCAAATCCTTGGCCTGTGATGACGTTCACCAGGAATTAACCACGACGATTTATACAGAGGATGCGTGGAGGTCGACCTGACAGGGTATATTGATAGCGATGGAGCCCCTAGTCCCCTTTATTTAACTCCCTCCCTCTTAAACTGTTTCTTTAATGGATGATAATGGAATGATAACCCCGTTTGCGTTAACGGTATACACGCTGCTGCGGATCCAGTGAGAAGTGATAGGTGATATTGAAAGAGCAGGTCAGTTAGCCCATCGTGATAAATACGCCTGAACTTCAACACGATGGTGTCCAGAGACCACAGGGTGGTCGATCTGACAGAACATATTGTTAGCAATAGGAGTCTATATAGTCTGCATTACTAGCTACTTAAACAGTTGGAAGTATTTGAACGTAATTTGATTCTCAGATGGACCATATCCTAGGGTAACTCGTAAGATACTTTATAATTCACGCGAGCAAAACCACGAAACAAAACAAGTATCTATAACAATATGCAAAATTATCGTTGTAATCTTAAAATGATTGATGGCACTTCGAGTTCCGTCAAGGGTAGATCATAATCTTGACATTTACGAACACATTCTAAAAGTGGATTATCATTATATTTTTAGACTGTTTTGCAAATGTTATGTATATTTTTATCTGAACAGGAAAATAATTTAAAAATATACAATGCACTGAAGGCAGGGCCGTAGCTAGACCCATGTTTACGTTAGGGCAAAAGAACTTTTTGGTAGGGCTTAATTAAGCGTTGGCTTTGTTAGGCCATAATTGACTTCGAAAAAGTGATTTTGTTTAATTTTCTTGGGAACTTCCATCTTAAGGTAGGTCATTGCCTCTCAATGCCCCCTCTCCTAGCTACGGCTATGACTGAAGGTGTCAGTCTAAAACGGGTCATTTCTTGTAACAAATAAGTAGTTGTAGTAGTAGTAATTGTTAAAAGAAATAAATAATTATCGGAAAACAAGTATTCTGAGGCATCATTGCTCTAAATCAGTCCACAGATTATTTATTCTTATTACCTATTTCTAAAATAAAAATACCAATTTGATATTACAGCAAATCTTTATTCTAAGGTCCAATATTTTTTTTTGCAACTTAATATGGCAAATAAGCTGACGACCCACCTGACGGAAAGTTGTAACCGTCGCCTATAGACATGAACAGTACCATGGACATAACAGAATATATTGTTTCGCCCATGATACCCTTCATGCGTTGCTATTCCTGAAGACTGTAGTGTTGTCTCTGTACCCTGTAAACTCACTACCATATCACATTTTATTGTGCAATAAAAACTAAATTAATAAATATTTTTCTATAAAAATAAAAATACGTCACGTATTTTATATAAAGGAACAAAACTACACTAGTGTGATTTTTTAATAGTTGTTCATGGAATGGTACTCCGCCTGCAGTATCGGTATATGCTGGTGGGACACCTGTGAGGGATGACAGATGAGGATAAATGTAGGTCAATTGGGCCATCCTGACAAACTCATCAAGAGTTATTGATGTTACGACGATTTTCAAAAGATTGATTTTGTAAGGGTCTCTAAACCCATTTATTAACCATCCATTAAAAAACTGCCTAGTTAACGTGGTAATAAAACTTTAATCCTTTTCTTATGGAGAAACCCCCATTGCCATGAAGGAAACGTAAATGGAGTTTTAAAAGGTTATATATAATAAATAATAAACAAAACTGCTGCGTATAAAAATATTTATTTCGCACATAACTGTTAAATATTGGTAAAAAGCAAATTTTTACATTTTAATTTTAACTTTTCGCATAGATTCTCTCTGCATTTAAAAAATGTTGCAGGCAGGAAGGCATGCTCTTCTTTTTAAAAAGTATCTTATTTATACTAATTTATACCATTATTTTAGGCCATAATATGCACGATCTATGTTAGAAAATAACTAATAAATGCCAACTGTAAGTACTACGCGTTGGTGGCGCCGAAATACATATTGCAAATCACTCTAGAGGATAAATATAGCAACAGGCATTATACAACTTTAAAGTAGGCGTAGGTTGCAATATATATATATTGCAGTTACAGTATCTATATATTAATATAGATTCAATGTATAACACCAAAATAGAGAGCCCAATAGAAATGAAAATATAAATATCCGACTGATGACATGGTCGATATGGAAATTGCATGATGACCTTTTTTCTTGCATAATTGTCCTGAGGAACGCAATGTATAGATAACGGAGCTGTACCGAATTACCCGAGCCTGTTTAAAGTCGATCATATTAGATGTAAAATAATAAACGAGACCCAATATTTTCTATTTTTTGATGAATGAACGATACTGTTATAAAAAAATTAATAATCATTTGGCAAATATGAATGCAATGACAATATTGATAACCGAATATCCTAATCTTAGAGAATTTTTCTTTTTTCAAATGCAAAGAGAACAATTTACATAATTTCTTTTTTTTTCTTAAAATGTAAAACTAATTTTAATTCTACCATATTTCACTGTGTTAGAATTGACAAAAAAAATCCTTTTCGAATACAACAGTATGGCTGACACATTCCTCACGTTAAAATTATTATAAATTGAACACATGAAATAACAAATTATAATTAAAAAAAAATCATTCAGAAAAAAATTGCATAATAAGCATTTTTTTATGAATGATTTTGTTTCTTTTTAATTATTTTTATGAATTGTATTTCTTCACCCATACAGTTATATTTGAAATGGATTATAATTCATATTATTTCATTATAATCATGTATTACTATAAATAAAAAAAACTACATATTAATGGTATTGTAAAAACATAAAAATAAATTCATCAAATCAATAATTGCACTGCTTTGGCATGGTTATATATTTTTTAAATATATGTTCCTAGCTTTTCGACTGGTATTCACAGATCAGAGCTGTCCAATTCGGTTACAATCTCTGGCCAATATAAAACACAAATAACATTTGAGGCCCGCATAAATAAATATTTTAACAAAATATAAAAAAAAAATCGTAAAAGAAAAAATTTCAAATTTGTGGTGGATCGATATTATGCCGAAGGCCGCACAAATATAGACCACGGGCCGTATTGTATGTCCCGCGGGCCGTACTTTGGACAGCTCTGTAATATATATATATATATATATATATATATATATATATATATATATAATTAAATAATAAAAAAAGTAAGTATCTAGTTATAATATATTATAACTAGATACTTACTTAAATACCTTGAACATTTTTTTACTTTCGCTTTTACTTTTTTTTTTATACACTGCGCTGTCTAGTTCTAAACTATTACATGAATAGGTATTAAGCAATTGATGTAAATACTTCAATAGTTTCCTAAAAAGGACCTCACAAAATGTTACAAACATACTTAAGTATACAAATATTTGTATTGCATGCCAAGATTGAACTTGCAACAATAATACAAGGCCATACGTTAAACAACTATACAAAATAAATCGTCAAATTGTCACAGTACAGTTAGAAATTGTTCTGTACTGTAAAATATATATTACACATCCTGTACATTGGACACATTAAGAATATTTAATTCATTGTATAATAAAATATGTTTATTTACTTTTTTTAATACAATTATATATATATATATATATATATATATATATATATATATATATATATATATATATATATATATGTAATTTTTTTTACCTACCTATATGAACTGACATCGAGTAAGTAATAAAATGCACAAAGTATTTTATCCTGACCTATGTTTAATTTTAATAAATGACTACTTTATCATGTAAATATATTTAAAAAAAAACTAATTAGATAATTCTAAAGCAATAAAGCATAACTAGTATATAAAATTGGCTACTTAAAATGCTAAGTATAAATTAATTATAAACCCATAATTTGTTTTGTTATTTACAAATAATAATTATACTATCACAATGTTTGTTTTGTAAATAAATATACAAAAAAAATCCTAAATATATATATATGTATAAATGTGGCACAGTATAGCATTATTACTTTCAGACCCTTACTCCTGAGCATTCACTGATTATTATCACCAATAAAATAAAATAAAAGGTTGAAATTTTGGACGTCTCCACTTTCTCGATCTAGAAACAATATAATCAATAAAGCCAAATTAAGAGCCCCTTTTTAATTTATCTATTATGTTATTATTCACTGTTATTTCAATAAAAACGTGAGTATATGTATATATATATGTATATAAAAAATATGAGAATGTATAATAATCATCATCATCATGATGAAAAAAAAAACAGATTATGTAAAACTCTAACTACTGACATTTAATTTTTTTTTCTCAATGAAGTAAGTAATTCATAGTGGTTCTATACAGATGGTTCACATATGTATAATTACATAAAAGTACATTCTTGGGAGAAATATTTAAGTTTTTTTTTATATTAAATATATATACAGATGAATAATACTTCATATTAATTTATACAGTCAAAGTCGAAAGATACAACTAGTATAGAAAATAATATATAAGTGTAAGCTTTGTCGATCGGTTTTATCGATTTTGTGCCAAATCAAGTATTTTATATATAGTTTTATATAATATAAGTCTAGGTATTTAGTAAAAAAATCATAATTAACAATTTGTTGATTATTGCAAACGTGAATTATTCAATTTGAGGTCTAATTAGGTCGTGTGCATCTAGATGGAGCGTTGAACATGAGAAAACGTATAAAAAACCAATCAATGAAAAAAATTACAAAAACATGTTTTTTTTGGCACTTTAACGGCTCAACCAACTATCAAACAAATTGGTATACCGTTAGTATTTGGTTCAAATGTTCTGTCTGCGATTAAAAGATTAATATATTTTTTTTTAATATTAAATAAAAAAAAGAGTTTAAAAAGCGTCTGTAATGAAACATTATCTAGATGATATTATTCGAACCGCCTTATTCATAAAAACAAATACTTCTTAGAAACATTTCATTTGTTATATTTTATCATAAAGACAAAATATAAGCTAAACAGTTGCTAAAATAACTATTAGGATCAATTCTGAGGTAGCATTCACTAAGTTTATTTCTAAAATCACAATTCTAGCTTTTAGTTTAGCAAAACCATTAATGAACTAAAAATTTTGTTTATACTTTAAATGTTTAATGTAATACCCGTTTAACTTAAGTGCAATTAGATCGAGAAAGCTCAATAAGTTTCGGAATCAATTCGTGACCCTTAATCATGAGCGGTTGTGAAGCGAGCAAGAGCCTAACTACTTTATATATATATTTATTATATATATTTATACTTTGAATATTTTTTTATAATTATAAATTTATAATTTCCCTGCAGTATCAAATTGAAATTTTCGTTTTAGAGTCTATCTATAAAATTAAAATGAACTTTAAATATTTTTTTATAACATTTTGTCTATTTTAAACTTTTTTATGAATAAGGGGGTGAGAATATAATGTAATAAATATATTTTTAATCTAAATATGGCAATAAATAATTGTCCACTATCGTGACATTAGTGTGCCAGTTGAAGTGGTTGACGCCCGGCACTGTGACTAGATGCAGTCGACCGCTCTCGTTGAGCGTCCGCAGTCCAATAAGGTCCTCCTTGTATATTGCCTGGTCCTTCATTTCCACCACAGTCTCGTTGCCGTGATAGTAGCCGAATTGGCTGAACAACATCAAAACAATTTAAAAATATAATATAAAAAATTTTACAATATATAAATATCAACTTATCTTCATATTTACTAAATATACATTAACAATTTTATAAAAATCGATCGATCCGTTTCAGAAGTGTGCGACCACAAACAACGTGTCACAAGATTTATATATATATATATATATATATAGTATTGTTTTATGTATTTTTTATATGTTGCATTTCCAGTCAAATGTCGATGACAGCGAGACACGGTAAAATCGTAAGGCTTATAATTTGGTCTGTTTGTAACATAACATTGTATCTTGTACTTAATAAAAAAAAAGCAAATTAAAGTAAATTTATTCATAAAAAACATATTTACTGTACGACAATGCTGTCGGGGTTTCTACTCCACTATCTCTCAAAGTTACGTTACGAGTGTCTGGAAAATAGATCGTTATTTATAAAATTATCTAGTTATATGTCTATAGGCGACGGTTACCACTTTCCATCAGGTGTACCGTCAGCTTGTTTGCCATTCTAAGTTGCATAAAAAAAAGTTAATATTTCACCTTACTACTATAAATAAACTAATCATTCTTAATACTTTAATGTCATCAAGTTGGTACATACCTGCTTTGCCAGGGCGTTATAACTTGGTCATCGGGACCGCCAATTAGCACCAGTCTCTTTAGTTTCAGAAGATTGTTTTTGAAGTTTTGCGATTCTGCGGACCTGTATATAGACAAGGGAATTTCAAAAATACTTTTTAATCAAGCTTTTGCTACGTACTAGCTCTTTATTCGCTACTTTGTAGTGTGAATTTCAGAAGTAGGAAAACTAAATTAAATTAAATTGTTTAAATAGACCACTTCTAGATCAAGCTAGTGTATGTATTAAAATAAAACAAATACCGGATTTTAAGTTAGTTTAGGAACACAGTTGTGGAAACCGCATTCAATTTGGTGCAGTAATTTTTGCATGATGTCGGAACAAACGCATACAAACGTCACAGAGAGACAAACAAACTTTCTAAAACTCATTCTTTTGGCATTTATGGTCTTTATTAAGTCTCCTAATATTTTTTTTAAATAACTCATGTGTACATGCCTCGTGTAAATATAATTTTATTATATTAGAAATTAAGATATCTTGTGATTTTTGTCAAATTTTAATATAAAATTTTTAAAGAATAGGATATCCAAGTACACTTTTTTTTTTTAACATGATACTTATTTGTATAAGTTTACGACTAAAATGATCAATACTTTCTCATTAATAAACTTTATAATAATTAGTTCACATCAGGTATTTATTTTGAGACGTCCTATCACACTTATACTAATTATCAAAAAAAAATTAATAAATAATAAAAAAAAAATATTTATAAAAATCGTTAAATAATAAAGTACATTCAAAAAACAAAGAAGAGATTGTAATAAAGTCAGACAAAAAGTAAGGTCCCACCGAGATTTGAACTCGGATTGCCAGATTCAGAGTCCAGAGTGCTAACCATTACACCATGGAACCGGCTGGCCGGTGTGACGAAATTATGAATCTCTTATTGTGAGATTAAAGATTTGAGATTAACATAAATAATAAATGAGTATAAGTGTTTTTTTTTTAATAATATCAATATGTACACAAAATTTACTGACATATATGTATTCCAACACTTGAAACCAATATCTTTTAATAACTGATTATTTAAAAAATATATATATATAATGTTATATCCAAATTCGTATATAATATAGTATATATCATATATGTGTAAGTATATTTGTTATTCACATATATTTATTCGTTTCTATATGTAATTTTAGTATGTATGTATATCAATAATTTTTCTGTATAGTGCAGAAACTTGGACGATATTGATAGAGATGTGGTGCTGGCGACGACTATATATGCCTTTCGAACTAACGTTTCCATTCTGAACGAACTGAAAATCAGAGAGAGATTGTCGTCATGTTCGTATACGAATTCTCATATCATATATTGTATGGAACGTTTAATTGTCCATTCTCGGGGTAGATCGCCAACGCGATGGACTGACCTCATCAAAACGGCCACACAGAAATCTATTGTGGAGTGCTAACAGAAGTAGATGGAGACATATTGCGAGGACCTCAATCGCGAAGGAGAGCCACCGACGATCCACCGTCATTGTGAAAACCACGACCACTCTGCCAAGAGTGTACGACTGAAGAGAGAGAGAGAGAGATATCAATAATTAGTAGTACCGCATTCGAGTATTCTGACACTTCCCTATGGTTGACTGGGAGAGAATGCTTTTAGCATTAAGTCCGCCATGTACACATATTTGTACTAATGAATAAATAAATAAATATATATACCGGCTGGAAACCGATTTTATATCTAGATATTTTGTTTTAATTGAAGGGTTTACTTTCGGGATAGTTCCGTTTTATTTGTTAAAATCGGTATACAATTGGTTTTTTACAAAATATTACACTTACGGATTGAAATTCTCTTATGGCTCTAATAACTGATGAATTTTGTTAGAAACATATATGTACTTTCTTTATAAATACATACATATAATAAAATCGTAACTGGTCACTGTCTGTACATGGAAGAGACATAAGAAAAAATATTGTGGGAGGGCTTTATGAACGAACTTTAACAAAAAAAAAGGTGTAACCTTAACAATTAAAAGGCTTAATTGCTTTGAATGCGGTTTTCACTAATGCATTGCGGTTAGCCGCACTCGACATTTAGTATTTGTTTATTTATTCGGCTCATAAATAAAAAAGTTATATCAATATAAAATGCTATAAAATAACAGATCAGTGGAATTGGCTGAAACGTTTTTTATTGCATTTATTAATTTTCGATAATTCTATTTGCTCGTGCGAAGCCGGGTATAATATATCGTCATAGTCGTAGAATATATATATATATATATATATATATATATATATATATATATATATATATATATATATATATATATATATATCGTCATAGTCATAGAAAATTAATACTTACTGTAAATGGTTATTGAGGTAAGGCAGGAATACACTGTAAGTCTCATACAGCTGCTGGTGGTACGGATCGTTCCAATAATTCCCAACGGACGTGTGCTGCCCAACTCGAGAGTAGAACAATTCGTAGACTTCATCTTTCACGAGACCCGGAAACACTAAGTGGAGGAAACCAGCTGGAAATGACATAGAGGTAATTGTTAATAAATTCCGCCTGCCTAGCATGACAACTATTGGCAAAATCCCCCAAAGGGCAGACTTACGCTCAGCAGTGGATAGTTAAAGGCGGTCATGATGATGAAGCGAATTTTACTACATATCTAGACGACGTACTCCAAAATGATACCACTTTTATAGTTCCACTAGTGTTTTTTATATTTATTTACATAACAAAATTATAGTTACAAAACATTACATAAAGAGATACAAGAATGGTGTGCAAAAATTCAAATCATTCTTTTTCTTTTTTTAAATATACTATATGGCTTCTTTCCAGCCATGACCAATATCATATTCATATTTCTTTATTAACCAACGTAACAGTTTTCGTCACACAATGGCAAGTCAATATTTGATTTGTTCATCTTTTTAACCTACAAAAAGGTGTCTTCATCAGTTAAAAATAAAAAATATAATAAAAAATTCTCCGTATTATTTTATTATTCATGTTTCAATATGTACTGTACTAAACATGTAACGGCTATACACATTTAAAATAAATAATAATTTATATTTTTATAATAAAAAAGACGTTACAGAGTCGTCAATCCGCGTGACAGAGGTGTATTTCATACAAATCACTAAAAATTTTAACATGTAGGTTAAAAAAAAGTATGACCCATTTACATTATAATTTTGAAATTAATAAAATAAATAATAACAATAATAATAACATTTAAATTATAAAATGAAAATAATATTACAAATTATATATAGTTAACATTATAAATTAATTAATACATGTCAATATAATGGTGACTATATACCAATAATGATGACATCAATTTATAAAATTGGAATTGTCACACTTCTTACAGTTAAACATAAATAAATAATAATGCTATAATTTAATATTCGCATTTAGGTATTCGGTCACGTTGTAAAAAGGATGTTGCTCAAAATATGTCTTTATTTTATTTTTAAATTCATTTCTCGGCAATTGCGTTGCTGTATTGGGTAATTTATTATACATTTTTATTTATAGATATATGCCTTGTTTCATAGTTTTTGTGAGTCGTGTTCTTGGCAATTCGAATTTGTCTTTATTACTCCTCACTTGAGTATTTATGTATTTATATATATGTATGTATTTCTGTTTATGTATATATATTTATATACTTGGATTTATATGGATTTATTTACATATTCACATTATTATACGTATGCAAATCTCTAAATATATTTAAAAAACGAACAGTTCTGTGCCTCCACATGGAACAAAATACATGGAAGAGATAGCTCTTAGCGATAAGGTCGCCCATTGTTTTCTCAGTGTAATATTTTCTTGTAATTGTTTACTATTGTAAACTTAATCAGTTTACTATAGGAATCTTATGAAGGAACTAATAAAGAGGGCTAAGAAACGGGCTGTCATACTCCATTGCTAACAATCCCTTCCCACCAGATATCAGATCTTCTTTCATAGACCCATCTCTACTTTCAAGTGTAATACAAACCTCCATATTGTCCAGCCTGTGGTGAACTTAACGAAATAAATGTATCAATGGTGATATTAGAAAATGTCTGCACTATGCCTCGTGCGACGAGACCGCCTTGAGAATATCCTGAAATGAGAGAGAAATACAAAATACATACTTGTTATAGTGTATCAAACAGTAAAATTATGACATAAAACTGACTTGAGTACAACAATATATTCAGTCATATACTGAAAACCTATACCTAAAATATTCTAAAGGATTTTTGGCTAAATACCTTTTGACCTCACCCCCCCCCCCCCCCCCCATGAAGCATCGCCCCAAGTGATCATCTGCAGAAAAAATCAGCACTTCTACACCAAAATCTTCTAAATTTTAATTAGAATTCATTCAGAATTTGATTATGTACCTATAACTACTTTCATATTTTTTATAAAAATAATATACATATATTCACTTTAGGAATTATCTATTTACAACAAATTATATTAATCACTTATATATTTAGTATTTAGCTAAACAGTATGTAAATATTAGTATAGACTGAATACTGAGTAATTACCGAACATTTGTTTAAGTCTATTTACAATAAAATATATAAATAAGTCTATAACCTCCTTTTAAAATTTTTTTGTATGTCCAATATTTTATAAGTAATTTAGCTTTTTTTATACAACTTATAATGGCAAACAAACTGATGGCCCACCTGATGAATAGTGGTAACCGTCCCCTATATATATATATATATTGTCATAGTCTTAGAATACTGACGGATCTGACCAAGATTACATATAAAGATCCATCAGTATTCTACGACTATGACGATATATAACTTATAAGTAATATAATTATAAATTATATAGTTTATAAGTAATGCACTAAAACTGAAGCAAAAGTGGGCTGGTTGTTTACCAATATAAAGACCAAAGATGGACTACTCTATCAACAAAATGGTTGGGGCTAAATGGAAAAAGGCATATCAAAGTTAGTAGACCAAAACAAAAGTGGATTGATGACTTTAAACAAAATAGGAACTAAATGGAGAAGGCCTATACTGAATATGGAGCTCACATTCAAAATACTACATTACAAATAAACTAACATAGATATTAAGATTTCTAGTACTAACCATAATGTAATTAATACAATTTAAAACTACTGTTGTATATGAGAATTATTATTATATAAAATAAGTACCGCATCATTACAGCAATCCCCTAATAAGGGTGCCCTATGAAGAACCAGGCTACAAACATATGGGGACACAACCCAGAACACCCAAACTCAAACCAATTTGGAAAACACCATCTAATATTAAAGTAACAATCACATCAAATAATTAAAAATCACCTACCAATAAGATTTATCCCTTCAGGGTGTTTAGCTGATATGTTGGCCACATCCTGGCCAATCTCCAATACTTGGTGCCACATTGTTTCCAAACTAGACCAACTCTCGAACCTGTCCACATTGTAAATAATTGTTCCTGGATGTTTCTGAAATTTAGAACATTTGGCAATTTAGAAAAAAAAATGATACTTAGATAGGCAAACAAACTCATGGCCCATTTGGTGGAAAGTGGTAACCATTGCCTATAAACATGAACAGCACCATAGACAAAACAGTATACATAGTGACTACAGTACTACTTATGTATTTAATATAATCTCTATCAAAATTCACACAGAGTCACTTTTTGGACAAGTAAAGATAAATTATTTCTACTTACTCTGACCAGTCTTAATCCACAAGATGCCAGTAACTTACTTTATTTTTTTTAAGTTATTCATAAACAATAAATTGTATTGAAATTTCATAACTAGTAGAAATATAAAATGTAAAATTATTATAATTAAATCATCTCCTGTGGCATCTTCCTTTTCTTCTTTTAATATTAAGCTTACTCTATAAATACAATTAATAATTAAAAAAAAATACACAGAAGTTCTCCTATGAAAGTATCGATCAATATTTCTATGTTGTTACTTTCTTTTCAAAATTTCCCCATTTTAAACTTTTTTAACTCCTGTGTTCCTTGGCTCTCTGTATATTTCCTAGTACGCTAAATCCTATATTCCTTCGGGAGATTCCGAAAAAAAAAGACTTATTTTTTTCAGCCGTAGTTCCGTAGAACAAGGTCCGATGAATGATTCAAAATAATTAAATATTTTATAATCATTTACCTCTTTAATTCTATGCAAAATCATTTCCATGCTGTTGCTTCCTGTCATAATTCCATGTATTAAAACTACAGGTTTGAATGATAAACCTGGGCTTGCGTACAAAAACGTAACAAGACATAGGATTTTCAAGTACATCTTCGTAATAATAAATCAGTGAACAAAGAAATTGACGACACTTTGTTTTCTATAATAAACAAACAGAAAAAAATATAATCACTTTATACGAAATATCTTTACTATTGTAATAAGAGGCCCTTTAATTAGATGGCTTGTAAATTTGGACGTAATTCACATAACAAACTCAACAATTTAAATATATAAGCTAATAAAAAGGAGCACGATAGAAACAATATATCAAACCCATATAACAAAGCACATTGACATAAATAAGCGATGAGCGACACTTTACTTCTCAGAATACTAATCTGAACAATTCATTCCGATCAATCGAATGATGTGCAAATCGTTCGTCTACTAATTTTATTCATTCGACTATTAATTTTATGCGACTATTACTGATAATACCGCCCCCTTTAGGTAACATTAGCACACTAATTAGGTTTTTAGGCAAATAGTACAGCTTGGGTCCATGTCCAGTAAACACTAAGTCTCGTTTAATTTAGAAACAACTCAACAGTTATATTTATTACAAATAGTTATAAATCTTAAAAATAAATGAGAACTCATCCCACTGTTATTTAATCACACACTTATTAGTGATAGCAAAATATAATGGCAAAATTATAGTCCAAGAATAAAATGTAGCAATCAGAAACTAGCAAGAGGTCTGCTCACACAGTTCGAAGGAAATAACTAACTTTGTCTATTCTATATAAAAAGTAAATATGTATATTATATATAAAAAGGTAAATATTATATACAAAGGAATATGTAGAAAATAATATATAAAAACGAAATTAGATTTGTCAGAGGAGAGCGATCGAGATGTAGAGAATGACAGCAGAAACGAATATAAAAAGTAAACGTTGCTGTCATGTCTGTACGACCAGTTCGAAAGAAAGAAAAAGGTAAAATATCGATGTACAATTTAATTAATCTACTTGATGGAAAAGAAAGTAATAATGTTCATATGTGGCTATGAGATGAATATGTACAATATTATATACTAAATATAAATTGGCATCTTGCCCATTAACAGAAAAAAAACATTCTGGTAATTGATTCGACTCAGCTATGTTTGTACCAACTCTTAGATCAACAAATACGAATGAATGAAATTAGTAGTCAAATAATATTAGTAGTCGAATGACATTAATAGTCAGATGACATTAATAGTCTGTTGAAATTAGTAGGTGAATGAATAAAAATTAGTACTTGTTAATTAGTTAATTAATCGAATAATTCGAATGAAGTGCTCAGTTGAATAATTAGTAACCGAATTAGTAACGCTGCGCATCGCTAGTTCAAGTGTCATGTCAGTTGAATTAATCTGCTTTTCTGTTTTTGTCTTTTTCTCTAATATAATTAAACTATATTAAAAAATTCCTTTGTTATTATGTGCATACCTAATTAAATTGTTGAAATCTTTCATAAATAGTGTTAAAAGTAAATAGGTACATTTTCTATAATTAACTAAATCTATATAAATTTTCGTCAATCGCATAGGTTATGTCCGGCATGTGTTATATTTTCAATAAATTTGATACCTTTTATACTTTCCAGTTAAAACTTTGAAATTGTAATCAAGCTTCAATCATCATGACTACAACATCTTTAGGAGAGCAGCTTAAGAAATTATCTGCACCGCAATCGTCTATTTACGAAGACCATGACAAGAGAGTGTCACTCCTTTTCAACCCCAAAGAGGCAGCTTCAAAAGATCGAGATACATTTTACGAGATTGGTATTAGTGGTCTAAAGGAACTTATAACTTTATATGAAGGTTTTAGAGTTTTTGAAGACACACTGTTTAGTCTGTCATCTAAAGATTTTGAAAGAGCAATGGAAACTAAACAAGTTAACGAGCACTTAGATCAGACTATAGAAAAATTTCTGATGCAATTATCGCCGTATTTCTTGTTGCAGTCTGCTCACAAAGCATTAGAATGGCTCGTAAATAGATATCACATACATCAGTATAATCAAGATGCCATAATGGCATTGATATTGCCATACCACAGCTCGATGATATTTGTAAGATTTGTTCAAATTATGAATATTAAATCTACGTCAAATAGATGGAATTGGTTAAGTAGTATACAAAAAAAAGGTGTACCGTTAGCCAATCAGATATGGTACAATCAGTGTGTTTCAAATGCAGCCTCTTTAAAGTTTCTAGTGAACAGTACATTGAAATACATAGCAGAGTTTGGTGAAAGATCGTCACATTTGAATACTGTATTTGCGTTTCTGTGCCAAACGGCAGTCGGTGTGATGGAAACAAGTAAAAAAGTAAATGAAGCAGTTGTGAACGCCCTTTTGCCAGTGATCGTAAAGGGTATTGAATCCTCTATTGTTGATTTTAGAGCAGCAGTCCACATCATATTGGGCTTTATGTTCACCAAAGTGAGTCTGAAAAAGGAGACTCTAAATGAGATTGTTGATAAACTTTTGACTACAGAATTTGACTTAACATATGATGCCACTATATTACTTACTATGATGTTTACACACCAGACCCATATGACGATGATACCTGAATCAATATTATCTAATATATCAGTTGAAACAATGAATACTCTTTGTCAACATATTAAGAATTCTGTTGAGAAGAAGCAGAATATTGTACCATTTTCTTTGGCATTCCTTTCAAGTGTGCTGCGGGTTGTACAACGTGACATGGAGGAGTTCAAGAAATTCTATCAATTGCCAGAAATATTTTTGGATGAGGTAAACTTGAGGAATCAGCAACCGGAGAAGATTGTAAGGTATGTGAGAAAGACTCTGTTTTCCGCGCTTAGCCTCTCATTTGGGCTGTTGTGCGTGATTTGATTGTAAGGTATAAATTGTTATAATATTTTCATATTTTTGTGTAACTCTTTAATGAGGATAAAATATAGAATGTTATCTTCATCTATTTTCACATATTTATTTGATCACTTATCTTTGAAACAGTTGCTGTGCACCTAGTACTTTACTAAAATCAACAATTTTGTATTGTATTTGGGTTAAAGTACAGTAAAATTTTAAATTAAAAAGAAAGGAGATGATAAGCAGACCATATTTTTAATGTTTTGTTATCTATATAAATTATTATTTTATATTAGCTTTAACAGACAATTTCGTTTCACTTTAGGTTTTTTTATTGTATTTTTCATAGAAATCTCTAATTTTTTTTTAAATAACATTCTATGATAAATAATGTAGCTCTCTATAGATGAAAGATTTTTAGAATTAGTTATGTAATTTTTGGGTATATCTATTACAAACATCAAATCTTTCCTCTTTATAATAGTATAAATTTTCAATTTAAAATATATGAGATTGATATTGAATATATTAAAATAATTTATAAAATAAATATATTATTTTAAATTTAAATTCTGTGGGTGTATATGTATACATAATGTTTGAGTGAAATATAAGACAACTATTTGCACGATGTATCAAAAAGGAAGAAGTTCTCCATTGCTTCATATTTTTTCATGTAATCTGTGTAATATTTTCAATAATTCTGATTTTGATAATGTTTTTTTGTAATCAATGAGTAGGGTTTCTCCCGTGTTAATATAAATTTTTCATAATTAAAGCTGTTTATTTTTTTTGTAAAAATATTTTAAAAACTACTAAGGATTTTGATAAAATCTTTTTTTCTTGTTTCCCTCAAAAAACTTATTTAAATTTTTTGAAGGAAACAATTTTTTATGAAAATTTCTAATTGTTTTCTTTTTTCTGTTTCTGTATGTAATAAATACCTTTAGACATGTTACACAGTACCGTCTAGTCCTAACCTAAGTATAGTTGTACTATGGGTACTAGACAACTGATATAAATTCATCATGATTTTTATTTATTTTATTTTTTTTATTTTATTTTTTCATGATTTTCCTAATATTTAAATTTTCTGTCGTAGTTTAATCTTATTTCTATAATTTATAATTTTCTCAATAATCAATAGTTACACAATAATTTTATTATCTTTTTCCAGATGTGTACTTAATGCATATCAACCAAGAAAAAACAAACCAGTTGTTGTTGAAAATGAAAGTGATGTTGAAATAATAGAAGAAGACGATTTAAATATAAAGATACTTGAGTGGTACTCATTTTTACTAAAAAGCATTGAAAGAAAGTATCCAGAAGCATTTGATAAAGTTGTACAAGAAATTATGAGTTCAGAAAGCAAAATTAATAAGAAACGAAGAGTACAATTATCAAAAGTGCTTACATTTAAACCTGCTGTAGCCCATGAAATTGGTGGTTCATATTTATTTGAAAATCTCAATCATGTGAATCCACAATTGCGTGTTGAAGCTGTGAAATACATTGAGAAAGAGTTTGAATCACTGAAGAATGAAAATATTGCATTTGTAAAAGATTCAATTGTTAACAGATTTAATGATGACAATCCAGAAGTTGTAGCTGCAGCATTAGAAATCTCTAATGACTATATAAAAGATATATTGAATGAAGAAGATGTTGTGAATGTTTTCATCAATATTATGTCCAGGGGATCTCCAGAATGGAAATCTATTATCAGGAAAGCTGTATTTAAATTTTGTTCTTTAGATTTACTACCTGTTAAACAAGAGACAGTATTAGCTATGTTGCCATATTTATTTCCAGATGATGTTGAATCTGCTAAAATTACATGGCAGATTATAATTTCAACTTGGGGTAAAAAACTTAAACTTGTACAGAACATTCAAGGTGTGACTAAAGAATCCAAAGACAATTGTAAAGTCCTGAACCAAGTTGTATTCAAGGCTCTATTTGAAAAAAAATCTATAAATTTTGATGATATCCTTAATCATAATCATGTAAATGTAAAAAACACCCTTGATGTTTATATGTTTTTACTACTAAAAACATGTTCATTGAATAAAACAACAGCTGAAGAAATGATAATAATGTTAAATATGCTCTTAGAAACAGTTGAGAATAAAGTTATAATTTCAAGTACAGAAGATCAAGTATTTTCAAGCAAAATTACATCTGAATTTATTAAACACTGCAGGGAAGATCGAATAATTTTTCAAGTAATAGAGTACATTTTTTCAAGCATAATTAAAAACATAAATGTTAAAGATATTACAAAGCCTTGGTGCAATGTCTGTGAGACACCAGCTATCATTCTTATTAGAAGATTGTATGAAATTTGTATCACAGGTTGTGGTATTCCAACTTACGAGCGAAATTATGTTAATCTTTTGAAAGAACTTTTGTCAAAAATTTGTAATAATAGCAGAGAGAAATTTGAATTTATAGCAAATTTTGCATGTGGACATATTTTGTATGCTACTGATCCTAAAGATGTAGTTGGTCCTGAACTTCAGATAAGAAGTATTAAATTGCTAAATAATTTTATTGCTGCTCAAGAAAATATGGATTGGATCTATGACTCTGATGTAGTCACACTGATGATACTTTTTAATTTAAACAATCCTCTAGTAGCTATTAGGAATTGTACAATCGATTTAATTGAAACTCTTTTAAAAGATAATCCAGATAATACTTTAATATATGTAAAGCTACTGATTGAGGTAATGACTCATAAAGAAGAGACTTTACTGGATCATGAGCAGATATCGCAAGTTCTTAAAATTATACTGTCTCAGCAAAGTCCCGCTATGAAAATATTTAAAAAGAAATGCCTGATTAAATTTGCAAATATTTTGATTGGTGAAACTCCAGCACATATAAAGGCAAATTTACTGAAATTACTTAGCAGTCTTGATGATGCAAGTACTTTCTCTTACATTGTTCCATCCTTAAAGATTTTAGAGAATGTTTTACCAAGTGAAAAAATGGACACAAAACTAAGATTCAACATTTATGAATCTAATTTGTTTAAAAGTGTTTACAATAATATTAATGAATCTACAGTTTCAACATTTAGTAAAAAAGATGTATGGAATTATATTGAGCTTGGTTTAAAAGAATATAGAGAATGTGTCCTATTAGAAGAACAGACATATACAAGTCCATGTGTGTTAATCCTGAAACAAATTGATGAAAATGTTTTCAAAAAGATTCCTAATGAGAAAGTACAGGATATAATTTATATGATCACATCAGCTGGTGCATTTAGCAACAATCCAACAATCGCGAGTGTGGCATCAAGAGTTATGAAGAAAGTTCACTTACAGTTTGCTGACTTTAAGCATATTTTAGAAGGAATGTTAAGTGTTGAAGATCCAGCAGCTAATATGCCTAAGAAGAAGAAATCATCAGTATCTATGCTTTCATACCAATTGACTGAGACTGATGAATGGCGATTGGGGGTTACCTTCCTGGAATATGTGCAGAGCAAGAAAAAAATGACAGTTGATAATTCATTTGTTAACATTCTATTCCAAATTCTTAACAAATGTTTAAGATTTGAAGAACAATCTTATGTTGAATATACAAAACAGCTTATCCTGTCTTCACTCTGGTATTACTGTACTAAATTTGTTGATGACAAAGACGAGGACGAAATGAAGTCTCTGAAATCCATTTTCAAAGTGGAATTAATAGTGATGTGTATAAGAGGAACTCAAAATCCGCAAACTCACCATCACGCCTTGATTCTCCTGTCTCATGCTGCGTACATATTACCCGATCAAGTGCTACATCATACTATGGAAATATTTACATTTATGGGATCGTCAGTACTTAGACACGATGACGCATACAGTTTTCAAATTATTGTTAAAATAATCGAAAATCTAATACCTATATTGGTTAAATTGGACAAAAAAATTGAAGAACACACAGAAAAGGAACTCCAGCAATTGCAAGATCGGGTTGTACCAGTATTGCGTATATTCGCAGATGTTGTATTACATGTACCTGAACATAGAAGGTTGCCTCTATATACAAAGCTTTTGGAAACAGTAGGTGCTAGTAATTTCCTCTGGGTATTCTTGGCATTACTACTGGAGACTCATGTTGCTCATTTTAATGATGAAAAGAAAAAAGACAGAAACCAAAATAGGTTATTGGCCAATCAGGAGGCACCTGCAAACAGGCTTGACTTTGGTCAAAACGTTTTATTAGAATTTCCTCCAGAAATTTGTTTGGAAAATTTCTTGAAACTTATAGTATATCTTAAATCTTTACCACTTCAGAAAGATGAAAATTCAATGGACACGGATGTAGATCCTACTGATATATTTAGCGTGAATGGCCATACTCCAGTCCAATTACGTCAATATAAATACGTAATAATTACTTTTATGAATAATTGTTTGTCATCCTCAAGATTTATTGACCACTGTGGAGCAGCCAGTTCTTACGAAATCATGGAATCTCACTATAAAGGGTTTATAGTAAATGTGCTCACCTTTATTCAAAGCATTTCTAAACTTGGTGATGAGAAAACAGCAAAATACTGGCGGGTGATGCTGCATCATAGTTATGATCTCTTAGATCACGCTAATAGTTTGCTGTCCCCTCCTATGTTCCTATCTGTGACTAGAGGATTACTTAAACACACGTTACAGGCGGTTCGAAGGAAAGCCATGGAATTACTTAATTCTAAAATCCAATTTAACCCTGAAATGTTCGAAAATGTCAACAGGAATTTGCTGTACTCTTTGTTGCCTGCACTGTTGGATATAGTTAAGACTATTGAATCCAAAGACGAAACTTTAAATGAGGTTGCAGCTCAAGAATTAGAGCTCAATCAGCAGACGGCATTGTTGTCATTGAAACTTCTTACAAGATTGCTAGCATCGAAAAACCCTGAACCATTCAAACCTGTCCTGGAAATTGTCACCGAGTACACTTGTAATTCTAGCATATCAGGAAACGTAATGGCGTCCATCGTTTTATGCTTGGCTGAACTTTGCAGTAACCTAAAAGCACATGTCTTAGTTGGTCTCCGCAAGTTTATGCCCGCCCTCCTTAAAGTGTTAAAGAAGCAACGTAAAGCAGAGACCCCAGAATTGGTTCTCCTCAGTACGATAACCGCAATAACAAAAATATTAGAGAGTTTGCCACTATTCCTTAGTCCGTATATGCAGAAAATTTTATATGAATACTCTATTTTGTCTGCCAAGTGGCAAGCCCATGATCAAGAGTGTAATAAAGTGTCCGCTATTGTAACTAAGTTGGCAACTATAAAGAAGAAGATTGCTGCTTCTATACCTCCAAGAGTTTTAATACCAGTCACGAATGAGACGCATCAGTTGCTTCTGGGAAAAGAAAATTATGACGCAATTGGACCCTTGATGTCTGTACTGGCCGAGAGCTTCTCCAATGTGACGACTGCTGATTTCACAGCTCTACAACAGGATCTGACAACATTCTTCTTATCAGCATTGCAGTTGAGAAGTGACGCCGTGAAAAAAGAGATAGATGACGCCATTATAAATAGTGCAGAGGATGAAGTGATCAATGCATTAGTTCGATTAGTACTCAAACTATCTGAGACCAGCTTCAGACCTTTCTATTTTAAAATCTACGACTGGGCTATAAGGTCTAATGTTGAAGGACATAAAGATCGAGTTATCACTTTTTATAGGTATGTTCATTAAAATTTTTTGACTATCTTTAAATATCTTTTAGACATTTGCATTGCATTTGTTTATGCTTTATAAAAATCGGGTATTAACGCGATCATTTATATAAATTATGTAACTATATAATTTACCCCTCGGAAAATAATCTTAAATACGCTACTGGCGAGATCTGTGAGTGACAATTTTCTATGTACCATGTCTTTTTTCACAACAATAAAACATCGCTTTGACAACAATTAGCACTACGAGTATTTAGCCATCTAGCGTAATTCTAAGAAATAATATTAATCTAACAAAACAAAAATCGCGGGATACTAACGTCAATAAATATAAAAAATGAGAGCACGTCGAAATCGCAGGATGCCCAGTCAGAGGATTAATGACGTTACATCTTACCATCAAGTGCTTCACTGGCTTTAATATTTTTAGTAATTATTAAAAATAAACTTTCAGATTAAGCGCTGCCATCGCAAACCAACTGAAGGGTCTGTTTGTACTATTCGCCGGCCACTTCATGAAAAATGCCGCGGAACTGCTCGATTCCTGCAACAACAGCAAAACAGAAGATTTATACTTCGATTCTGAAGACAAATGCGTTGTGCTCGTTAGATGTATAGTGAAGACATTACACATGGTGTTCTTATACGACAGCCAGAATTTCCTCAATAAAGAACGATTCGAAACCCTCATGCAACCGGTTGTCGATCAGCTCGAGAACACCGTTTGTGGAATATCGAACCTTAAACAGAGAGCAGAAGAGTGCTTAATACCGTGTATATCGCAGTTTGCTGTCGCGACAGCGGATGATTCGCTTTGGAAATTATTAAATTATCAGATTCTATTGAAAACTAGACACAACGATGCGGAGATAAGGTTAGTATTTTATGATAGTTTCCAGAGGTAACCACGAGGAGGTCGACCTGGTTGGGTATATTGCTAGCAATGGGATTTTTAGTCTCCATTACTAACGATCCCTTTTCCCTCTGCTGGTTAGTGTTAGCTTATTTAATCGGATATCGAGTTATTTATCGATATTTATATTTGTGGCACAAATAATCGATAAATCGATTTAATTAAGATTTGTGGAGTTCTTGAAATAAATTCCAATAAATCCATATTGAAATTGAGACGTTTCGTATTCTCAAATTGCAACATTAGCGACATAATGGTTCCATATTGTTCTGATAGATGTATATTAGTCTAACTTGCCAATGCAAACTTGTGTAAACCGATCCTAATAATAAACAATTCCTAATTGTTGTGTCATGAATGCGGTATAAAATTGTCATTGGCAATAGATTGGATTGATATTAGATTCAAGAGTAGACCTATTTAGATACTAACGATCTTTCATTCCACATGCCAAGCGTGGCAACTACTGGCAAAACTCCTCTTATGGGGGTGGCTTATGTTCAGAAGTAGTCAGTTAAAATCATGTCAGCCGTTATGTAAATAAGTAATAATAATAAATTTTAAATATTTATTTATTCATTAGTACAAACATGTGTACATGGCGGATTTAATGCTAAAAGCATTCTCTCCCAGTCAACCATAGGGAAGTATCAGAATACTTGAATGCGGTACTACTAATTATTGATATACATACATACTAAAATTACATATATAAACGCATAAATATATTATTATTATTATTATTATAGCTTTTTTATCCACTTCCGTGGTCCCCAAGGGTAAAAGCCTCCTCCATCTTTTTCCACTTCTCCTTGTCTATAGCAATACCCGTCCAGTTCTTTCCTGCTATCTTTATTATGTCATCTTCCCATCTCTTTCTTTGTCTTCCAACATTTCTTTTTCCTGCTGGACCTCGCCATTTTGTTGTTTGGAGAGTCCACCTTTTATCTTTGTACCTCACTATATGACCTGCCCATCTCCACTTCTGTTTCATACTATGCTGAAGAGCATCTTTTATTTTGGTTTTCTTCCTAATATCAGTGTTTCTTATTTTCTGTATTTTTCTTAACTTTAAGATACTTCTTTCCATCGCATGCTGACATGATAGGATTTTGTTCTTTATTTTTTCTGTATAGGTCCATGTTTGGCATGCATATGTTAGGCTTGGAAGGATGCAGGAATCCATAATTATCTTTTTTAAGTTGAGACTGTAGTTCCCTTTAAGGATTTCTTTTTGAGCCCAATATTTCTTCCATGTTATGTTTATTCTTCTATCAACTTCATTTTCTCCACTGTTCGTTTCGAAAGAGACCATTTTACCTAGGTACACATAACTATCCACATAATCTATAGGGTTCTCTTCTATTGTGATAATTTTTTTGCTGTGGTTTGTCATGATCTTTGTTTTGGTTGCATTCATATTTAGGCCAATTTTCTTACTTTCCAAATCTAGTTCTTGTAGCATTTTTTCTAGGTTGCTAACCGATTCGCTAAAAAGTACTATATCATCTGCGAAACATAAGTGTGTTAGTCTTTTGTTCAGTATCCATATACCCTCATGGCTCCAATCGATACTTTTAAAGATGTTGTTAAGTACTGCTATGAAAAGTTTTGGAGAAAGTGCATCTCCCTGTCTTACGCCTCTTCCAATTGTGAACTTTTCACCCTGCCTCTCCAGTTTGACTCTGCTTATACTATTAGAGTAAATATTTTTTATAATATTTATGTAGGTGCTGTTTATGTTATTGTCAGCCAAAGCATGCCATATGGATGAATGTGTAATGCTATCGAAGGCCTTGGAGTAGTCCACAAATGCTATGTAAAGTGATTTTTTAAATTCTTTGTACTTTTCTATTATCTGTTCTATTGTGTGGATGTGATCGATTGTAGAGTAATGTGGTCTGAATCCAGCCTGCTCTATTGGTTGATATTTGTCAATTTCTGTTGCTATTCTGCTCAAAATAATGGATGAAAAGAGTTTGTAAACTGTGGATAGTAAGCTGATAGGTCTGTAGTTGCCAATATCAAGCGGGTTGCCTTTCTTGTACAGCAGTATAATGTCAGATTCACACCATTGCTTTGGTACCACTTGCTTTTCCAAAACTAGGTTAAAAATTTTCACTATATATGTGATTAAAATAGGCACTCCGATTTTTATGGCTTCATTCGTAATGTTGTCTGAACCTGGGCTTTTTTCAGGTTTTAATTTTTTAATAAGTTTTATGACCTCGTACTCTGTAATCTGGTTCGGTGCTGCTTCTGAATTGCTTTCCTTACACACAATGTCTTCATCTTTATATGTTTCTTTTTCTAAAGGTTTTTTATACAGGTCGGTGTAGAATGCCGTTGCACTTCTGACTATGTCATCTCTTTCCCTGATTTCGCCTTTACCATTATTTAGAGATTGTATCCATTTTTTATGTGTTGTAAGTTCTTTGAAGGCTCTTTTTGAACTTCGGAACTTTGTCATGTTTCTTTCAATAACTGCTCTTCTGTAATTATCATGGTCTTTCCTAATTGCTCTATTAGTTTCCTTAAATAACTTCTTTATTTTTTCTCTAGTTTCTTTGGTTTTGTGCTTCTCAGTCACTAGTTCAGTTCTTCTAGAGATTAGACTCAGTGTTTCACTGCTTAAGATTTTATGTTGGCCAGCTTTTCTTTTCTTATCAAATCTTAAACTTTCTAATATTATTTCTTCCAGTTTGTTGCTCAAGGCCTGTACATCTTCTAAATTAATCAGTGAGTCATGTGATTGTGCTAGATTCTTTTTCAGATTTCGTATATAGCTGTTTCTTTTCTCAGTGGAGTTCAGTTGATTTGAAGAAGTGTTAAAAGCCCTTCTACTTATTTTTGACTTTTTGGTTTTAAGAGTGCATCTCACTAATCTATGATCAGACGGAAAGCTTGTTTTGTTTAACACCTCTATATTACTTACAGAATTTGGATTAGAGCTCAGAATGAAGTCGATTTCATTTTTTGTTTTATGGTCTGGTGATATCCATGTCCATTTTCTAGATTCTTTTTTCTTAAAAAATGTATTCATGATCGACAACTTATTCTCGTAAGCATATTGTATCAGACATTCACCTCTTTCATTCCGTGTTCCATATCCAAATTTTCCCATTATGATGTTTTCATGTGGTTTCGGGTGTCCAATTTTTCCATTGAAATCTCCAATGACAAGCACGTTTTTGTCAGCTAAGTTTTGTGCTTTTGTTAAGTCGTTATAGAATTTTGTTAGTTCCTCTTCACTTGAGCTCACAGTTGGGGAATAAACTTGTATAATCGATATTGGTCCATCCCTCAGATTCATTCTTAGCAATGCGACTCTTTCCGATATTCCCACAAAACTTGAAATATTGTTCTTTAATGACTTCTTAATAATGAAACCCACTCCATGTAGGCCCACTGTTTCGCCTATGTAACAGAGTATATATTTGTCATGTTCTTCTATAGCGCTTCCCATTTTTTTTGTTTCTGCAAGTCCCATAATGTCCCAATTAATTTTTTCTATTGCTTGGTTTAGTTCTATCATTCTTTCTTTAGTTGCGAGTGATCTTACATTGTATGTGCATATTTTTAGGTATTGATCTATTTTTAATTTTGTTTTTTCTTTTGTATTGCTTAAGTTAATTTTATTGCTACTTACATTTTTGTTTTTGGTATTTGTTATTTTATTTGATATTTTATTTGATGAAGGGTAATGGTCGTCTTCCCCCACGGTGACCAGCCGGCTTGGGGTGTATTCTGTTAGTGTTACATTTGATGGTTTTAGTAAATTTGTTTTGTTTTGATTCCGTTTGCTAGAGGTAGTTATTAGTTTTTTGCTAGTTCCGACATGGATGATGATCTTTCACGTGCCACATAATTAAGTATGTTTGGTTTTGGTTTGTCTTTCATTAAATCTGTAGGCAAAACAGGTGAAATATAAGATGAATTTGGACTGCTGTTAGCCAACAGTTTTTTACTGTGATTTTTAGTAGTTGGTGAATCAGTGTTTTCTCTTTTACGCTTTTCGCGATTGCTTTCTTTTGGTTTCTTTACTACTAATTGATCATATTTCAAATAAGCTATATTTCCTTTCTTTCTTTCCTCCTCTAATTTCGGTTGTAGTTTTCTACGTATATCTAGTACCTCTTTGGGATAGTCTTCTTTAAAGTAGATGCCATGTGGAAGGTTAGATTTATTTTGTTGTACAAGGTGCTTTTTCCATGTCGACGAAAAGGACACCACTATTGGTCGGCTTTTGTTTGATGAAGATCCAATTTTATACACACTTGCTATTTCATGACTATCTAAGTGTACTCCCATATCCATTATTATTTCTTTTATATAATCCACTAATTCAGCTTCGCTTCTCTCATGTTCCTTAATTCCAAAGAATACTAAGTTGTTTTTCCTTTTATCTTTCTCTATAAAATTGAGTTTTTGTTCTAATTTTGTTATTCTTGTTTTAAGAGCGTTATTTTCCATTACAAGGGCTTTCATCTTCTCATCTAATGCTTGCATTACATTTTTAGTAACTTCGGTAGATATAATTGAAGTCTGCTTGTTCAGTTTTTCGTCTAGTTTTGAGAGTAACAGTTCCATATTTTTGTCCATATTGAGTGTTTAAAGTCGTGAACGTAATCCGTTAGTAAATTAACACTTTTTAATTTTAGCACTTTTTTCTTTGTCTGGCAACACCACAACTATCAGTGTCAAATATGATATGGTTGGTACGTAGATGTAGATTGGATTTGTAGGGTTGGTACTATTGTTGAAGTTTCTTCTATTGTCTATGATGCGAGATGAATTGTCACTTTTGAATATTTTTGAGGTTATGTTCGCAGGAATATCGTTTAAAATTTTCTAACTAACACTATTTTTTCAGCAAAATTTTTTTATAAATCACACACTTTGTAGGGTTTTGATAACTAATATCACTGTTTTGTGCACGTTTGGTGTTTTTTTCCACTGTTTAAGAATATTATCGGCTTAGCAAACTAACAAGAGTATTAACAGTTACGGTACCGGAAACGGAATTTATAAAAAATATATATGAATAACAAATATACTTACACATATGATATATACTATATTATACACGAAATTGAGAATAATATAAAGCACTTAAGTATGTACTTACTAATATAATAAAATTGTAACTAGGCGATGTCTGTACATGGGAGATATTTAAGAAAAATGAATACGAGGGGTGTATGTGAATATAAAAGCAATAGATAGATGCTAAAACAATAATTTTTAAAAATTTTGTTTATCTGTCTGTTCTCAAAAACTACTGCACCCAATTGGATGTGATTTTGTTGTATTCCTTAAAGTGTAACTTAAAATCTGGTGTAAATGCCATGTCATAATATAACAAATAAAAAAAAATGAAATATTTTACTTCGACAGGCTAGTCGCTTTGGACTGTCTCGTCGCTATGGCAACGCAGCTGGGTAGCAGTTGGCTGCCATTGCTAGCTGAGAGCGTTCCGTTCCTGGCAGAGCTTCTGGAAGATGGCGACTCCAGAATAGAATCGTCTACAAAGGACGCCATACGCAAGCTGGAACAGATTCTAGGCGAACCGCTAGAGAAATATTTTTAAACTGTTAGAAACTTATTAAACGTTTTTGTTGTAATATATATAAACAATTTTAATACATATATATATTTTTTTTATTTACAAGTCTCCCTTTTCTAATTTTAATGCACAAATGTCAAACGACTACAAAAAGATTATCAAGTCGGTTATATTTATTTTTTTTATAAATAAATGAATGAGTATACTTCATTTGCATTATACAATATAGGAAATAAGCAAAACAATAAATAAATGTAACGATACAGTTGTATAAGTACAGTAAGGCGGTCTTATTGCTGAAAGTAATCATTTCAAAACAACGTTTTTTTTTATGTTTGTTACTTCATATCTCTGTCAGGTATAAACCGATTTGGAAAAATCTTATTATTATTATTTTTTATCTGAAAGTTTATATTTACAAATTACTCCCATAAAAACTTTATCAAAATCGGTTCAGTGGTTTAGTTTTTAAATTGAAATAACTGATTTTGTCATAATATGTCTTTTTTTTGTGTGATTCTAAACTTTCTTTTTTTATTAAAATAAGACCTATTGTAATGAGATTTTTAATTAGATGCACAAGTCTAAAACGCGAGAAATATCGTTTTTGAAACCGACTTAAAAATAAGTTTTTCGATTAGGTTGTATTTTTTTTATGTTTGTTACCTCATAACTCTTAGTTTATAACTAATTTGTAAATTAATTAACTAACAATCCCTTCTCCGTCACAGAATGTTGTGTGGGAAGGGATTGTTGGTGGAAACCATCGTGCTAAATTCCAAGTGTAGTCATCACGATGGGCTAACTAACCTACCTTAGAGGGGAAAGGGATTGTTAGTAATGAGGGATTGTTAATAATGGCCCCATTACTAGCAAGCCCTGTCAGGTCGACCTCCTAGCGGTTCCCCCTGGAAACCATTTTGACTAATACTTGTTGCATTCATCACGATGGGCTAACAGACCTGCTTTAATGCTCATCTATCATCCCTCATTGGTGCCCTGCCAGGGTATATCGATAGCGCAGGCGGGGTTTTTTTTTTTAATGGGTGATGGTAACTCCGCCCGCGCTATCGGTATACACCGGCGGGGCACCAGTGAGGGATGATAGGTGAGGATGAAGCAGGTCAGTTAGCTCATCGTGACGAATTCAACAAGAATTGTTCACGATGGTTTCCAGGGGGAACCACGTGGAGGTCGATCTGATAGGGTGTATTGTTAGCAATGGGTTCATTAGACCCCATTACTAACAATCCCTTTCCCCCTCGCGCAGGCGGGGTTACCATTCCATTATCATCCATTAAAAAAAAACTAACCTACCTTTTCCATTTTTTCTTTAGTTTCATATCTTACTGGCGCCCCGCTAGCATACACCGTTGGCGCAGGCGGGGCTATAATTTTATTATCATCCATTAAAAAAACTACATATTCAGATATTTAAGATATAGATGTTATTTCTATTACTTTTTTTTTATTGATAGGTGAAAATGGAATGGTAACCCCGCCTACGCTAACGGGATACGCTGACAGAGCACCAGTGAAGGGTGATAGATGAGAATGTAAGAAAGCCAGTTAGCCCATCATGATGAATTCATCAGGAATTAACCATGACAGTTACCAGGGGCGCGGTTCCCCCTCGAGGAGGTCGACCTGGTTGGGTATATTGCTAGCAATGGGATTCTCAGTCTTCATTACTAACAATCCCTTTCCCCCCTATTTCTATTACTGTTATGTGATTAAAATCTAATTATTATTATTACATTTAATTATACATATGTGTTACAGTATCGATGTTTTCCTGGGTGGGCGTATTGGGAGATTAAGCTCATCCAGTTGATGAAATAAATAAAAGTAAGTTATACTTAGTCTATGGTACAAAGTTGCATGGCACACTATGGTTAGATAGATATGGGGATTAGTAGCTCCATTGCTGCCAGGTCGACCTCCTAGTGGTCCCCTCTGGAATCCATCGTGTTATTTTATTGTTATATTGTTGTTATTTATTATTAGATTCGTCATGCTAACTGACTTGCTTCATCCCCACTTATCATCCCTCATTGGCGCTTCGCCAGTGTACACCGATAGCGCAGGCAGGGTTACCATTCCATTATCATATGTTAAAAAAATATAGTATATTGGGGGAAAGGATTGCTAGTAATGAGGAGGTTGATCCCCATTGCTATCAATATATCCTATCAGGTCGACCTCCACGCGGTTCCCCCTGGAAACTATCGTGACTAATTTATCGTTGAATTCGTCACGATGGGCTAACTGACCTGTCTTTTCATCCTCACCTATCACGTTTTACTGGTACCCCTCCAGTGTATACCGATAGCGCAGGCGGGGTTACCATGCTATTTTTACCCATTAAAAAAAATAGTACCTATATGTTGATAGTTCGCACTTTAGGTACCTAACAATGTAAATATCCACAATGCGGGCGTGTTCATTCTTCTGTGAACGAAGTCCAATTTATGCATTCACTTGATTACGTTTACTCCTCTGGATTGAATAAACTTCGCCTCGCATTCGTATGGGTAAACAGTTCTCGACCTCTGCCTTCACACTGTGTAAAGATGCTTTTACGACTATATAAATATAATAGGACATTTTATGTCATAGCCGTGTAGTTGGCATAAAATGGGCCACCCCTTTCTCGTGGGTGTCGTAAGAGGCGACTAAGAGAACTAAATGGTCGAGGGATGGGCAGCAGCGTCCTTCGTAAAACAACACCAAAGCCTAATTGCGGTTGCCAACCCGCCTGTCAAGCGTGGCAACTACCGGCAAACCCCCCCTCCCCCAAAGGGGAAGGCTTACGTTTAACAGTGAATAGTTATAATCTGATATGATGATGAATTTGTCTATTCAATTTATTAATAGATTTTGTACTTATTATTCTGTACATCAGCAGACGTCTTAAGGCTGGGTCAATGACTTGTTTGTATAAATTTTTGAGCACGACCTATCTTTTCAATTTCCTTGGGTTCCTTCAATTAATAATTTCTGTAAATAATTAGAAAATACTTTTTTTTTTAATCATAGACAATGCGCACAACGCACCTTTTTGGTTTCTTTTTTATATATGAAAAAGTAGGTATTGGTTTTATATTATCTTAAAATAAGAAACTAGAAAGGCGCGTCGTGCTTAAATATATAAAAAAAAATATTGAGTTGTTCGGTTTCATGAGTGCTGTTACTGTTTTTTATGTGAAAGGGTGACAAGCATACGGCTCATCTGAAGGCAAGTAATCACAACTGTAGAATACCTATTCTATGCTTATAACACCAGAGATTTGCCTGTGAATTGCTGGTCTTTCAAAAAGGTTTCGGTGAAAAAATAAATATCCAATTTGTGAGGTTCGAAAGAGGCGGAAAATTAACGCTTTTATTTAGATAAATTATGATAATTTGATATATATAAATATGATAAACACTTAGTCCTTTATCTTAAATTTGTCTTGAAATGATTGCTCTCAGCAATAACACCGCCTTACTGTACTTATACAATTGTATCGTTGAGTTAGTAAATTGTTTTGCTTATTTCCTATATTGTATAATGCAAATAAAGTATACTCATTCATTCATTGATTCATAATTTACCTGAATTATCTCCACGTTTTGACCAGGTCAGGTCGACCTCTATGCAGTTCCTCCTAAAAATTATTGTGTTTAATTTTTAATGCATTAATTAACATGAGCCAAATGACTTGCTTTCATTCACACCTATCACCTATCACCTGGTACCCCGCCAGTGTATACTGATAGCGCAGGTGGGGGTTACCATTGCATTATTATCGATTAAAAAAAAAAACAAACCCGTTTCGTTATCGTTTGCCATAAAAAAAAATCTGTATACTGTGATTTAAGGTGGTTCTCCCGGGGCGTTTAACACGAAATCAATTTATATTTTTAACGTAATAATATAAATAGCCTGACCGCGGTGCGTTTACCGAAAAAAATATTTCTTATTTTATCAACGAAAATGTACTATATTTCTTATTTCTAACAACAGTATAAAAACACGTAACGAGCGGCCCACGTGCTGCGTAATAACTTGGTCGATAAATTACCGTAACACGCCGCCCTCAAATCTGCCAAGTACCTAAATACCGAATCGAAGGCGAGAGTAAAATTGTTGTTTGCAACAAAAACATACGGTGGAACGGCGTAAGTAGACCGTTACGCTATATCTAACTAATATAATATTTAATAGTTAAGGAATACTATACTCAATATAGGAACAGTATACTCTGTTATGTCCATGGTACTGCTCATATCTATAGGCGACGGTTACCACCCACTATCAGGTGGGCCGTCAGCTCGTTTGCCATTCTAAGTTGTATAAAAAAAATTGGAAGCAGTGTCCCTCTCAGAGCATCAGCAAAGCCTAACTGCGATTGCTAATCCGCCTGTCAAACGTGGCAACTAATGACGAAACTCTCTTTATGGGTGAGGCCTATGATCAGCAGTGCACAACGGGTGATGAGACGATGGTGATCTATTTACATGTATCTGTTTGATACGTGAATAAAGTCGACATAAAAAAATTATAATTAAGTATAGCTTGCGAACCCTACTAATATAGTAAAATTGATAATAAATAGATACTCTTTATTGTTTCCTCCAAAAGATTACAATAGTAAACTTATTATAAATATAAATAATTACAAGAAATAATCACAATGAGAAAACAATGGGCGACCTTATCGCTAAGAGCGATCTCTTCCAGGCAACCTTTGGATGGAGAGAAGTAATTATAAATAATTTGGTGGGAGACGCGATGAAAAATTCTGTTAGTTCTAAATATGGAGATGCGATACATGTAATAATATAAATATTATCCCTACTCTATAGATGTTTATAGACTATTATAGAGGTCTTTTTTCTTTTTTTTTTGATGGGTGAAAATGATATGGTAACCCCGCCTGCGCTAACGGGATACGCTGGCGGAGCACCAGTGAAGTGTGATAGGTGAGAATGAAAACAGGCCAGTTAGCCCATCATGATGAATTCATCAGGAATGAACCATGATAGTTTCCAGGGGGAACCGCGAGGAGGTCGACCTGGTTGGGTATATTGCTAGCAA